CAAAGTTGATGGTTTTCAGACCAACATCAACAAGTAAGATAAGGACGAGGTTTTTCTGTAAAGCATCTGTAAAGTAGATTATGTATTAGCGTTCAACTGTGGTTGTTTCTGTTTGAACAGGTACTTCTCAGAGAGGGGGGATGCTGTTGCTAAAGCCTCCAAAGATACTCATGTGGTATGAAACTGTTTAATTTGGATAAACCTTTGGGAATTTATATAAAATGTTTTCGTCATTGTGCTAAAATATTAGCTTCTTTCTGCCGTCAGATGGACTACCGCTCACTTGTTCATGAGAAGGACGAAGCAATCTTCTCCGAGATCAAAGTGATCGTCCTAGACATCCGTGGATTTTATGTAAGTAACTAGAAAAACATATTAGAATATAAGGAAACTCATAAATAAGCTGTAATGTTGTACTTTCTTTGGTTAGTTGAAACGCGCATAAAAATATAATCATCCAAATGTCCTAATGATTGTTTCAAGCATTCAGCATGCCGATGTGAGTGAATCCTTTTCAGCGCAAAAGTATAGAAGTATAAACTTATCAACATAACCCTCCTTATGCATTTATCAGCTGTATAATTCATACGTATATATGACAACTAAACCTAAGCAGTTAACTGATCAATATAGTATTTATTTAATTGTAATTATGGTGGAGGAACAACCACTAAAGTTAAATAAATATGATAATGTGCTATGTATGTATTACAAGGCAATGTTCCAGTATTATTAATATTTTCCATTTCGGTACGAGAAGAAAATGCAGTATATATTTATTGTGAAAAATTCATATTTACTTATGGATTTGTGATTTATTGCAGTAGCAATAAAAATGTTTGAAAATCCCCAAAAACTTAGAATATTATTCCAATTGTTCCTGTTATATTGACATGTCTAAAACTATTTTATAAATAAGTTATTTTATGTTTTTTAGCAGTAAAGATTGGATTTCTGTAGCTGGTTTATTATTTATATTTTAACAGCAGTGTTTGGGTTTGCTTTACAAAATAATAAAAAGGATTTGTTTATACTTTTTTTTTCTTACACTTATTTCTGTCATCATGGCAACAAATACCACAAAGTATGATGATTATAAACTGTATGGAAGCTTCATGCTACATTAATAACACAAAATATACCAGACATGTTTGAGTTTGAAATGATACAGAAACCCTCCCAGCCATAACCTGTTCTCCCTGTTTATGCTGCCTGTCAGGAAACTCACACAAAAAAATCACATCAGTTTTTCTCTCACTGCTGATCCTGTTTATTGGACCTCATATTAAATTGAATTTCTGATTTTAATATCTTTAGAAAGTGGCTTATATTTTAGTCAAATCTTCTGTGAGTTGTGTAAGGCCAGGCCACTAGAATTTTTAATTATCAGAATAAAGACGCAATTTTACCAGAATATTACCAGAAAAAATTATTTTAATGAAAAAAAAGCTAATTTATCAAGATCTGATGTGAGTGTAGAAGTTTTTTCAAAATATACAGTTATTTGCACATTTGTTTCAAAGTCCTGATACAAATAATAGATTGATGTTGATGTGTTAAAAAATAAAGTATTTCTACTAAATATTATCTGTAAAATTTATAGCAAAGTATAACTTAAGATGCTCAACATTCCTCAAACTATTAATACTTTATTTTCTTAATATAAGTCAATAAAACCTTGTTTTATTGACTTAACTTAATCTGGTAATATTAGAGCTTTTTTCACCTAACATTATAACTTTGTGGTAATATAAATTTATTCTGGTTATATTGATTTTCCTAATATTACAGATTAATTCTGTTAATGACTTTATTTTCCTAATTTTACAACTTTCTCCAAGTAGTGACTTTTAACTTTATAATTGTAATATTGTGATTTAATATTAATATTCTGTGGTGGCATTGACCTGAATTCAAAGTCCATACACAGAGAAGTTGTAAAACAAGAAGGCCGCCCTGGGGATGCTGACATCACTTCCAATTTTTTTTAATTTAAACCTTCAAAATCCACAAATTTAATGCACTGAAAATAAATTGATCATCCAGCTTAAATATTCCTCTAAATAAGAGTAAATAAACAACTTAAATCCATTGAAAAGCCTAAAAAGCGAATCTCGATTTCTCTCATCCGTTTTCCTCAGGCTGAGCTCTATGACATCATCACCAAGAACCTGGAGAAGGTGACCAATCCGAAGGGAGAGGAGAAGTCGTCGATGTACTAATCGCCAACAAATCAATCCATGCTGTGAGACTGAATCCAGTCTGACCGGAGTTTCCTAATTTTCCCTCTACAGTCCTAAAGTAAATTACCTGGATGTTGGTTTCATTACTTTGCTGCAACACTTCATTTCTGAGCCAACATTTGCACTAAATTGAACTCGTCAATAAAAAGAACTTTTTTATTCCAAGCTGTAGGGAATTTTCTTTTATTTGAAACAAAAACAACTTGACATGATGCATGTTTTATTTACCGAACACACACACACAAAAAAAAAACACAACAAAAAGCATTTTCCTTTTACAAAATCAGAGCGTATTAGAAAGTGAGGAGCGAACGCAGGCGGCTGGACGGTCACACCTCGGGTCCTTCTCCTCCAGGGATGAGCTGCAGGGAGGAAACATTTCAGAGTGAATCACTGAGAGAAATGCAACGCAGCCCGGCAGAAGGCAAGCAGCGGCCATGTTTTTTACCATGGTGATGTTGTTCCCATTCAGGAGGATCTGATCCAGTTTGGTTATCCTCCTTCCCTCTGGGGTGATCTCACTGCAACGGACCAGAGCCACACCAGATCAGAACCATGAGCAGAACATTCATATAAAGTGAAAAATGGATGAATGGCGATCTGGGTGGATGGATGAATATGGATGGATTATGGATGTATGGATAAATGGACAAACAGATCTGGGTGGATGGATGAAAAAATGGTTAAATGAATGCATCCATTTTTATGGATGGATGAACATAGGAATTAATAGATGGATGGATGAATATGGAAACATAACTTACAATTCGGTGACATCCTCCAGCACCATGTCTGAAAGTCAAGAGTTAAGGAGCAGAACTGAGGGTTCCTAGGTAAGGGGTGTGGCTACAGGTGTAGCTGCACAGTCCTGTCATCCAGGCCTCACCTACCGAACACCTGGTGGTTTCAGACCAGAACCCAGGCCTGAGTCTCAGAAAGGATACTGACGAAGTCATCGAAGCCGAGCAGCGTGCCGACGATTTCTTTGTCTGTTTTCATCACTATGTGTATCCTGGAGCCGATACATTTATCCACAAGCTCTGTAAAACCGAGAAAAACATGTTACATTTGTTGGAATGCCATTTGCATTTATTTTAACCAAATTTAAGGAGGAGAAGCAAAAGCGCAGGAAGTGGATTAGCAGTGCTAGCTAACACCGGATAGTGTCATCTAGGACTTAATACTGTGAAATATTATCTCCGTCTCCTGGATATTGAGCTGCTAGCATGTCATGAAAGTAATTTAGCAACAGTCTTTAGTCAGAGGCCTCTTCTGATTCGTTGCAGGACTGACTGCTACTGGAGCCATCATTTTGACAGAAGCACAGGTGTCTAATTAGTTAAGCGACGTTCATCTTAGAACATTTCTGCTTCTGTGGATGTACTTTTAGAAACTGAATCCAGCCCAAAACATTGTGTTGTCTAAATTCGTCTTATTTTCAAAACGTGTGTTTGATAAATGGCAGCTTTACTCTTTCACCACATCTGATCCTCCAACATGAAGCTCGTTAAATTTAACATAAACACATCGCGGGCTTTACTATTTCATTGTTTCTGACCCACATCCGGAGGTTCTGTTACCTGAATCAGAAAAACACAGAAATTAAGATGATTACGAACCGAGTGGGAGCAACTGTGAAGGATTCGTTGCTGGTGTCGCCGCCATCTTGAATCGAAAGCAGTCAAAACCAATCGACCGAAGATTTAAAGTTGAATCAGGCAAAAGCAATCGGACACACCACAATCAATTGTATAGTGGCTCATATGTATTTGTCTATCAAACAACAGGCGCTTCATTCTAAAAAGGGAAACAAAACTCGCATTGGTTTTTAATATATAAACACATTTTCATTGGGGGACGGAACCTGACTCCACATGATGGCGAAGGTTGAAACAGTTTATGTTTGACGGCATTTTCAAAGAAAATGTATCAGCAAGTCAAGATAATTCTCTACCGAGTCAGGGAAACAAAATGTAGCATAGCATTTATTTAGTTTGAGGAGAAAGGCCCATGTAGAAAAAAGTAAAAGGTCTCATTTCAAATAGAATTGAAGAGAATGAACTTCATTTGCATTTACACAAATACATTGGTGAACAAGTGGTTTGAATCCCTGCATTTTACTCAGTCCAAAAATAAAACATAAACAAAAGTAAAAGAGATTAAACATCCTACACCTGCAATGTTACAACAGTAACAAAGGGTGTATTTACTCTAGGGATGCACTGATTGCAGTTTTCTGGAAGACAAATCTGTTCACTCTTAATTTAAAAAACAGACAAATGAAACAACTTAATCTACATCTACAAACACACAAAAAATATCACACTTTAGCAAAGTTCAATGAACATTTTGAACTGAGATAAATTCCAGTTGGATACTTTCAGCCCAGTTAGAGATTTAAAACTGTCACTTGAGATTTTCTCTAATTTTTCTAGAATGTTTATCAAGCAATGATAATAACAAATGACTTAACTTGAAATAAACCTATGCAGTTTGGTAGCCCCACTTAGCATATGGGAATCTTAAAACAATTTACTCGTTTATCATTATTATATATTTATATTTAGCTACAAGACTTCAAATGAACACAATCTTAAAGTTTATCAAGATATAGCTACAACAATTGATATATTTTTGACCCAATTTCAAATAAATGTCTTTAAAGCTAAAGCTAACTTTGTTAGCTAGCTAGCGTTTATGAAGCTTTCAGAGGCAAAGCGAGGGCGGAAGTACGCTGCAGGGAACCCTCTCGTTGATCCGGCTGTGAGTCGAGCCAGCTCAGGTTTGTGGCTGTTGTTGCTGCTTGTGTGTGACAGACTCGGGGCTAGAACTCGGCTCTGTGTGCTGTTTACACCGGACTCCCGAGGGGAAACCGAAGCTGGACCGCCAGAACTGAACACTAACGGTCGAAATGGAGTCTCAGGGCAGAGACGAGATGAAGGGGCCAGTGCTGCACATCGTGGTGGTTGGATTTCACCATAAGAAGGGCTGTCAGGTAGCTACTCGAAGCTCCTGCTTCATGCTAACTCCGGCTAACTATCTGTCATTTAAAGTCGCATTCCTACTAAAATTACCCCCGACGTAATACTCTCGCTGTGGATACATCTGGATAGAATATTGTAAATAATAAACATGATTTTTGGAGTCTTTCATTGGTATGGAAATGAAGAATCAGCTGTTTACTTACTTTCACTTACTTTCTATTTCCAACTGAAATATTTTTACAGTTCAGTGGATCCACCGGATCCCCCATCCGGTTTACTTTAATCATTTTAAGATTAATTGATTGATTAGCAAGGCGATTGGCTGCCCACTCTGTTTTTGTTGCAGTTGTTTCAGTTGCATATTTATCAAAACTATGAAATACTTCCTGAAAAACAAGATTAGTTCCGTTTTGATTTCATATCTACTGAAACACGCATATCTGCACGTTTAATTTTAAAAAACATTGTAGCAACAACACAATCTTAATGAAATTCCCCTAGTGGTTTGTTGCTTTGTTGTGTTTAGACTTCAACTGTGAATAAAAACACCTCATTATCAATGTTTTGAACAAAGATAAATGCAAAATTTGATGCAATTTATTCACTTCAGTTGAGAAACAGTAATACATTGTACACATTTTGTCCCTGGAATATCAGTGTGTGTGTGTGTGTAATATTAATCGTTAAATTCGTGGAGTCACAAACTACTGCATTGCATGCAAATAACATATTTTGTAGAGTTCCAGTATTATAGGACAAATAAACACTTTATTATTTAATATTGAGAAAACAATATAAACTGCAAAAAAGCCACGTTTCCTCGTTCTTTACTTTCATCATGGTTATTCTCCTTGATAATTAGCATCTTTGTGACTAAGGTCTTTATTAGGTAAAAGTAGTTTTGTGCCAAATTCTGTGATGTAACGCAAAACTTTGCAGGAATGGGATTGATTTGATCATGTTGGCTACTTTTATAGAGAATTAACAGCATTCTCTTGAATGTTTCTCGACTGGGAGATTGGTTTGTGAATGAACTGGAACATTTTTGTTAATAATCCAAAAAGGGCAATCAAAAAGTCAAACATTTCTGAAACACTTCCTGGATGGTTTTTAGCATAGAGTGCAACACAGCCAGTCTTTAAAAAAAATTCAATGAATGAAACACCTAGCTTCATGTTTTTGAGCCATATTTTCAGATTAAATTCATTTCTCAGCCCAGACGTTGTCTCCTCCATCTGCTAATCAGTGAAAGTGGACATGCTGAACATGAGGTATTCGTCCTCTACTTCCCTTCTTTAAAATGCATGACCTGGTGAACGGACGGCCATAAACCAGTTTGCCTCGGTGTTGTCGCCGCTCTCCATCTGTCTGCATCATGTCGCTCTGCAGCCTCAGGAGCAGCTGCTCGCCATCTTGAAAGATTAAAAAAGAGAGAGAGAGTTTTTTTTTTTCTCACGTAAAGTTGAGAGCGAGGACAAAGTGCTCTGAGGTTATCTGATCAGGGTCAGCGGCCTCCTCCTGAGTATCAGACATTTGGGTTTGTGGCCTTCTCTCTCCCTGGGTCTGTAGCTAATGATTATTTTAGTAATCAATTAGTTTGGTGATTAATCAATTAATAGGATAATAAAAAACAGGCATTTTCTGCATATTTGTAATTTAACCAAAGATTTTAAAAACATAAAAAAATACAAACGTGCCAATAATTTAGATACTTTTATTTTTTTGCCAAAAATGCAATAACATAGTATTCCTTCAGTAAAAATTTGATTATTTGTAGCAAAGGATATATCTGCAGAAAACATCTGTTGATTATTTTGTAAATTAATAATTCAATATCACAACATGATTTAAAGGAAATTTCTTTCACAGAATATTAACCAGGGGTAGCTAATGATGCCACTTGATGAGTTCAGAATATAACAGGTTTACAGATAAAAAAAGGTTTTTCCTTTTAAATGCGAAATGTGTTTATACTTTGTACAGTTTTGGCTTAATTGCTGCTCTGAACTTGTTAGTTTTTTTCAGCAAATATACATTTTTACAGATGTAAACTCCAGTTAGATTAATCAACTACTAAATTAGTTGATTAATTAATTAGAAAACAGGCAAAAGGGGCAGGATCGACTCAAGTAAGATAAAAAGATGCAGAAAATAACTACTTCTTACTGGGAGTCAAATGTTTGCAGCATTTTTCAAAATGTCGGCTTTTCAACAATCTTATAGGAAAGCATTTCTTTGCAGATTGTTGTCCAAATGCAAATTACCCATCTCTTTTTAATTTATCATCAAGTGATTAATTGATTTATTGCTTATCGTGTCAGGCTTGCGACGCCTCGGCCTGGAGGAGTTGCTCCCATTTTTTCCTGCAGAACTGAGTCATTGTTTGTGGGTGTGTGCTGCGTTCAGGAGCAACAGGTTTTAATTCAGCACTGCAGCTGCGGAGGGAGAGTTTTCTTTGAGCTCAACAAAAACCAAACAAGTTTTGTGAAACATGAGACGTTTTAAAGAGGAGGTTTAAGCAGCTGAACCATTTCCGTAGCAGGACTTTAGTGTACTGGTAGGACTGAAACGATTAATCAATTATTTAAATAATCGTTAACTATCTTGGTAGTTATTCATCTTTAACTGAAGTATGCAGACTCAAAAAAGGGCATTTGCTGAAATTTTTTTTTTTTATAATTAAGCCAAGACTATACAAAATTATACACATTTTGCATTCAAGCTTTTTCTAAATATGTTTGAGCCAAAACTGATGGCAGTTTTAGCTTCACCTGGTTCAAATTTACTAAAGGAATGTTGTATTATTGCATTTTAGGTAATAAAATGTTTGCTTTTAATTTATTTACTTGCATCTTTTAATATATTTAGTGAAATAAAAAATCTGTAGAATGTGAAATGGTGATTTATAAAACCGATTAATCATCAAAAATAATTGATTAATTGTCAAAATAATTGAATATTTGTAAGTAATCAGCTGCGAGCAGCGAGCGAAGCAATTGTTGCTGCCCATCAATCTGGGAAGGGTTCAAAGGTCAGAAAGATGATGTCTATATCTGCTCTCGTACAAACCGATATCTTCCAGCTGGATTCAACAAAACGATCTGAAAAATGAAGAAACGACAACTTTCTTCCTGAATGACAGGAAGTGACCGAGCTTTTGCTTCCTGCTGTCCCCAGGTTGAGTTCTCGTACCCCCCGCTGATGCCAAACGAGGGTCACGACAGCGGCCTGCTGCCGGAGGAGTGGAAGTACCTCCCTTTCCTGGCTCTGCCCGATGGAGCACACAACTACCAGGAAGGTACGGCGCCGCCAGATCCACAGAGATCTCACATTGAAAAAGCTTTCAAATACTGGCTTTCTGGATCATTTTCAGTGTGTTTTTCTCAACTAGCCCGTTTTTTAGTTTACAAATACGTCATAATTAATTTCAGTTGCTGTTATTTGTGGTGTTTTGTTATTTTGTTCCAGTGTTATATCTTTATCTGAATTTATCGTTTATAATGAATAATGTCTGGGGAAATATGAATTTTTCTTGAAAACGTTTTATTTTTAAACCTTTGTCAAAGCTGGCAGAGTGGCTGTGACTTCCAGCTTTTCCTGCGTGTGAAGGCAAACATCAGGCTCTGAGCCAAAGTTAATATTCAGGCTGGAAAACCTCCTGGTTTCATCTTCCTGAAACCAGATTTCCAGTCTAATATTTAACTCTTATCTCTGCATCTTTCTGGATTCTTATCAGCCGGTTTTTCACAGCATAATAAATCTTTTATGCCTGAGCCGCTCATAAAGCAGCCGCGTCTCAGGGAGGCTGCTGGGTTTTGGTTTCATAGCACAATGGTCAACCAGTGATAGCCATAGCAACATGGGCTTAAAAAGATGCATCTGGAATCCTCCATCTTGTTTTCCAAAGGTTTTAAGGTCTGAAAGTTTAGTTCCTGCTTCAAGATCCAGTTCAGAGATTTCTTTTTCTCTCTTTTTGCTGCAGATCTTCCTGTTGGCTAAATTTCGTTTTTCTTCTTCTTTCCCTGAGGATTATTTGTCATTTTGCAGAATCCTGTTTTCTTTAAGAGCAGCGACTCTGCGATGTCGCCGCTGGCGCCTCTTCTCTGAAATCTTCAGTCTGTGTTGATCAACTCTGCTGTCGCTCTGAACCACAGAAAATCTCCTCAGAAACACTCAGATGGAAATGAGGCTGACCGTTGTGACATTTTGTTCACCAGGCAAAATCAGATTAAAACGACTGCAGGCGAAGAGGACTCCAAAACCAGTTTAATCAGCGTTTACTCCTTATTGATTTACTATTAAAACATGATCTGTTCTTAGTTTATAAGGAGAAAATGTTATAAAACATATCTGCACGTTAATATCAAACCAGTTTTGCTTATCGAGCTGATATAGTTAAAAAAAGACTAAAATCAGTCTTTACTTATGTTGGTTATTGGTTGCTCCAAAAGCAGGAAGTGGACTAAAGAGCAAGGAATTCTGGGTAAATACAAGCCAAACAAATGTGCTGTTTTTGTGCTAGTGGGAGAAATGGCAAATCGTCAAAATAGAAATCCTACAAGCTCTAAAATTTGACACTACCTCATTTTGTGAAATAGGAAGTTCTGCTCAGTGTCTTCAGAGGTTTTTGTGTCTTTTCCTTCTGTAGTTCTTGGTGCAGCGCCCCCACAGGAAAGGAGGGGAACATGTCTTTCAAAGTTTTTGGTTTGTTTGATTCAGTGCAGCAGCTGAAAATGCAAATCTGTTGCAGTTTTTGTCCCCAATCGAACCGTGTTTACCTGGACGTCAGGTGTGAAAACAGCTTGATTTACTTTCTTCCTGTTTTGCAGACACTGTGTATTTTCACCTGCCGCCTCTCAGTGGAGACATGAAGTGCGTCTATGGAGTGTCCTGTTATCGCCAAATAGAGTCGAAGGTTAGTGAAACTCATTTAAATAAAATGCTGTAGAGGATTCTACAGGTTGAACTTTGACCTCATTGATCTAAGTGTTGCATGTTGATGGAAACTGTTGGGTTACCTGCTTGTTCTTCATCCATGTGGATGTGATTTCAGGCCCTGAAGGTCCGAAAGGCGGACGTTACCAGGGAGACGGTCCAGAAGAGCGTCTGTGTCCTCAGTCGAGTGGTGAGTCGCCGCCAGCTTCAGGTTCAGCTCAACAAACCGAGACTTCGCATCGAATTGGACTGAACTTAAATCAGTTGGATCAGCAAACCTGATCTGGGGCAAAGGAAAGAGGAAAACAGGGGTCAGAGGTCATTCCAGGAAGAGTTTTACTCTAAAGACACATCTATCCATTTAAACATCCAACCCTTCATTTGACCCTCTGTCCTTCCTTTATTCCTTCCTTCCTTCTTTCGAGTTATTTTTTGTCGACCTTTAATTTTTTTCAATAAAACAAAAGAAGCAACAATCCTGGAAACTTTGTCAGATTTTTGAGTTTTTCCCTGAACCTTTGGGGATTTTATTGTGTTTATTTTATCTCCTCTGCTGTTCAGGAATGAATCTGGTTTGATTAAAGTATTTTTTTCTCTGTCTGGTTTTTCACAGTTTAGCGACGGTTTACTGGCAGCTGCTGCTGATCAGCTGATTACAATCAGTAGATCTCATTAGTTGGCAGGAACCTCAGTGATTCATGGATCTGTGTCCCGGTCGGGGGAAAATCCTCCTCCATGTTTGGGTCATGATGTTTCTGAATCACTGCTGACTCTCTCTCTCCAGCCTCTCTACGGTTTGCTCCAAGCGAAGCTGCAGCTCATCACACACGCCTACTTCGAAGAGAAAGATTTCTCCCAGATCTCCATCCTGAAGGTGAATCTAAGATACTTTATGAGATTCACTTCCTGTTTCCTGTCGTGACAACCCCTGGCTTCCTGTTTAGGAGCTGTATGAGCACATGAATGGCTCCCTGAGGGGCTCCACTCTGGAGGGGTCGCAGGTTTATCTCGGTACGCAGACTCCAACCTCCAGAAACGCTTCATCTTCTCCTGGAAAACTCCTCATTCATTAGTTTTTTTCTCCTCAGGCTTATCACCGAGAGATCTCATCCTGCACTTTCAACACAAGGTTGTAACAAAAACATTCACAAGATGCTAAAATATCAACTTTTCCTAACATTTTTAATCGTTTTGCAGGTTCTCATCCTCTTCAAGCTCATTCTGTTGGAGAAGAAGGTGAGAAAAGTCAAATTCTTACTCTGTTGTTTTGGGTCTCCACATGTGATCAAACAGAACTGACTGTCTGTTTCTGTCTGCAGGTCCTATTCTATGTTTCTCCTGTAAACAGGCTGGTTGGAGCGCTGATGACGGTTCTGTCACTTTTCCCGGGTCAGTAACTCCTCAGAACATCTGAGCCATTTTCACTCCCTCATCCAGAAAAATAAACCACTAATGTTGAAAAACACAAATTATGCACATTCATGAATATCTTCTGAAGGGAATTTGTTCTCATTTTTAAAGAGACAATAATTCTATTCTTATTTATAGAATGTAAAACAGAAGAAAATGCATATTTTCTTTTATGGAACCTGAGAAAAATTACACATTTTCATAAAAATCTACTTTAAGAAAGAGCATCAGTCACAAAAGCCATTTGTCCCAAAAACCGGTTCCCACAGAAGCTGCATGCTGCTGGTATTAAGCTGCAGCAGTTCCTGGCAGGTGTGGCAGCTGACCCCTGACCCCTGCCGCGATGTGAGCTTACCGTCTCCGTCGATGTTTCTGCAGGTATGATCGAACACGGCCTGGTGGATTCGTCGCACTACAAACCAAAGAGCAGCTTGTCGGACGACCTGATTCTGGTGGAGAGTGGCTTGGGAGCCGAGGAGTTCGTCTCCGTGTCCGTCACCGACATCGCCCAGGCCAACATGGAGGCCACTCAGCCGGCCACTCAGCCGGCCACAGAGTCCCTGTCATCAGGGAACGGCGGGCAGGACGACAGCAACCACCTCAAACCGCCGTCACGAACCTCTCCAGAGTCTTCAGAGAGCGACTGGGAGACTCTGGACCCCAGCGTGTTGGAGGAACACAAAGAACCTGGAGCTGGCAGCAGCGGGTCGAATATGCCGGACGCCTTCGACTCCAAACCGGGAACTCCAATCACGGTGCAGCCGCTGGGGGTCGGCGGTCAGGGAGGGGTCATCCAGGGTTTGGTGTCGGGTCTGGAGGAGGATCAGTACGGCCTGCCGCTCCCCATCTTCACTAAGGTAAGTAAAACCAGCTGCCTGGTTCTAACGGGACATGTTGTGGTTCCTAAACTGGAGTCATGTGTGTATGGGGTTCAGACTGCAGCCTCCTTACAGAAAAACAAATAATTTCCAACTTTTTCTGTTTTGTTGTCCAAATTTTTGGCGTTCTTGGCTCGTGGTTCAGGGCTGAACAACAATCCTCAGGACCACAGATTGCTCTCGGGCCACATTTTGATCACCCCTGGTCTACGGGCTACAAAACATGTCCATTTCAGCTTTTTGCATAAAATTATTCATAGATGATGAGATTTCAGTCGGGTCAGTTCATCACAGAATGAACTACTGTCACTTTAAATCCAAATGATGCCCCCAAGCTCAACATTTTAATGTGAAAATGGCTGCAAACAGACACGCAATTATACAACAGTTCATCTCTGATGATAAGCAGAAGTGGAGCCTCCTGCACAATCAACAGGAATACGGCAAATGGTTTCTGGATGGTAATTCAACAACAAAACGCTTTTTATGGCGGTAAAACCAGCCGGCCAATCGGGGTGCAGCTCTGCTTGGGTTGCTAGGTAACCGAATACGACTTTTCAGATATTAACTTGTTGCCCAAAAACCTTTGGGCAACAAAGGTTTTGGGTGGGTAATAGAGGCAGTTGAGACCAAAGTGGAAGTTGGAAAACAAACTAAATGGGGATTTTGAATAATAAGTTCCCTTTAAGACGTTAGCTCTATTATTTTCTCTTTGCTTGTGTCGTTGCCAGGGCTACCTGTGCCTGCCTTACATGGCTCTGCAGCAGCATCACCTTTTGTCGGACGTCGCCGTTCGAGGCTTTGTTGCCGGGGCGACCAACATCCTTTTCCGCCAGCAGAGGCACCTCAGTGACGCCGTCGTTGAAGTGAATGCTGCTCGTTCACGGCGCCTGTTTAATCAGGAAAGCGGGCGCATTAATCTGAACGCCTTCGCTTCTGCAGGTGGAGGAAGCTCGGATCCAGATCCAGGACCCAGAACTCCGGAAGATCCTGAGCCTGACGACGGCTGACCTGCGCTTCGCAGATTACCTGGTGAAACATGTGACGGAGAACAGAGACGACGTGTTCCTGGACGGGACGGGCTGGGAGGGAGGAGACGAGTGGATCAGAGCTCAGTTCACCCTCTACCTGCACTCCTTGCTCTCCTCTGCGCTACAGCCAGGTGGGAAATCTGGAGAACATCCTGTGATGTCATGATTTCATCCCAGCCTGACTCCTTGTCCTCTTTCTGTCAGATAATGAGAGGCTGCTGGCCGATTATGGGGTGCCGTTCATCGCAGCGTGGAAGAACACCCACAACTTCCGGGTTTGGTTCAGTAACAAACATCCCGGCATGACGGCGATCACTCCAGGGTAGGTGGACCAACCCGGCCACCTCATCTTGCACCGCAGCAAGACAAATAAAGATGTTTAACTAACTGCAAATATATTTTATAAATTATGGAGGGAACTGCTAACTAAGATGTGATTTGTGCTAACGCTAAAGCATGTGCAATAAACACTAGTTCTGCTAATGCTAAAGTGCTAATAATATACATAGCTTCTGCTAAAGCTAAAGCAATAAGTGATAGGTTCTTCTAATGTTTAACTATAAATATTAGTTTGGCTAACTAAAGGATTAACCATAGACATAGTTTCTGCTAACACTAAAGCGCTAATGATAAACATTAATTCTAGCAATAAACATTAGTTTTATTAACCCTTAAGTGCAAACAATGAACATTCATTTTGCTAATGCTATAGCACTATTGGTAAACATTTGTTGGGCTAACACTAACGTTAGCAGAATGAATATTTAGCAGAAGCTAATACTAAAGGAAGTGTTGAAACAATCATTTCAAAATAAGAGCATGAAAATAAACATCTAACTACTTTATCAATAATCGAAACTTTAGCACAGATGCTGAATTTGATTAAACTAAAAGTTTAAAACTCAGCCTGTATTTATCCCAGTGAAAAATAAACCTCAATGGAAGCTAAGTGCGCTAACATCAGTGTTAGCAAAAGCACAAATGAAAAGTTAGATGCTATTAGCCAATTAGCTCCACTACTGGAGGCATTAGAAGAAACTGAACTGGAATTCTGGAAAACAAGAAAAATATTTTGGTGTTTTTATTAGAAATTATTCAGAAAAACTATTGATTTGCTGTTATTTTAGTTTGATTAAACATTAAAAAATGTAAATATTTAGAATATTTATGATATTGCTTCTTGCATTAAAATGATTATTAGATCAGATTGAACCTTATTAATCCCTCAGGAACATTTTTCTAGTAAATTCAAGAAACAGCTTTGTAGAAAACATAGGGACTTAAATATAGTACATATATTAGATAAATATAGTATTTCTGAAGTTCCTCTCAATGTGTTGTGGATCGGATGAGGCAGGATGACGTTAATTGGATGTCGCTGTGTTGCAGCCACCCGTTCCAGGGCCAGTACAGCGTATCAGACGTCAAACTGCGGCTCTCACAGTGAGTTTAATTTTATTCTCCTGCTTTCAGCGTCTAAGGTGACAAATCTTTAAATTAGACACTTTCAAACCCAGCTGTAGATCCGTCTCTAATCTTCAAAGATGAACTCAAAACGAGGGATCTGCTGCCCTCTGGTGGCCAAAACAGTTCACTGATCTCTCACATCAGGAGGAAGTTTTACGTCACGGATCATTTTCAGAAGCTCCTCTGTAACTTTTGCTGCTTCTTCGAACATCTGTGACAACTAGTGGTGATATCTTTGGTGGATGAGGCTCTTTATTTGGTCTCTATCATTTTTATTGACAGAAAGTCTTTAGTTTCTGTTAATTCTTGGCCCATTCTGCATGAACTGTTCATTTCAGATGTGGCCCAATAATGACGAGATCAGAAGACGGATGATTGGATTTTATTTTTTAATAACTTGCTGCATTCACTCTGCAATCGCTTTTGACCAGTCTTAGTAGTGAAGATGCCTCCAAATTAGGGCTGAAATTATTAATCAGATTAATTTAGTAATTAATAATTAAAATATTCCTCCCAGAACTCCACATGTGGGAATTTTAGCTTCATCTGGTTCAAATTATGTCATTAAAAACATTAAGGATTGTTGTTTTGCATTTTTAATGTATTTTCAATATAGCATAATTAAAACTGCAGAATGTTGCACATTTTTTATTTGACTAATCAATTAATCTTCAGAATAATCAATGGGATAATCCAGTCCTAAAATAATTGTTGGTTGTTACAATTATTAAAATGAAAAATATGTAAAGCATGTCAGTAGATTCAAGCAAAACCAAAACAAAAGTCTCCAGTCTCTCCCTCCTCCCAGTTTGATTTTCCTTCAAATGGAGATCCAACTCTGAGAAGCTCTTTGAGTTTTATGTGCCCATATAAGGAGTTAAAGACAGAATAAATCAGAAACAGTGATCCTGCAGCTGTGAATGCCTGATGAATACTGTATGCAGCCTAATGTCTGTGCAGGAGTCATTAATAATGAGCGAGCTTCATTCTGAAAAACCGAGCCGGAGCCTCCGACTCCTTCGGCCCTCGGCTCGGCTTTCATTCCAGGAAGCGCGGCGCGCCGCAGGTAGAGTTACCTCCACACGAGGAGGAGCAAGTCGGACTCGACTCGCTGGCCGCGGCTCTCGCCTTACCTGCAGGTGTTCGGTGTCCCAGCGGCTGTGAAATCCCTCGTAAAGCTTCAGTAAACAAACAAGCTGCAGAGGGTCGGCTCAGCTCACAGCGTCCAGCTAAAACACCGAGTAAAATAAAAGCATGTTCAGGTGCATGCAGTGGAAAATACACTGCAAAAACACAAAATCCCACCGTTTCTAATGCAAGTATCTTAGTTCACTTGAAGTAATAAAAAATCTTCAAATATAGGAGCTGGTTTTAAGTCAATAATTCCTTAATATTGAAGAAAAATTACTGATTAATGGAACTTTATTTTAGTAAAAAAAGTTTTTTACATCATTAAGAAATTATTTACTTACAAGTTAAAATTATTTACTTAAAATAAGTAAATATTTACTTACAATATTACTAAAATTGCCTAGGTAACTTGTAAATTTACTGTCTTATTCCAAGATATTTTCACTAGAAACTATATAAAAATACTTGGTGAGATTTTGTGTTTTTGTTCTGCAGTGTTTCATTTGAGTTTAATGCGACGGGCCAAAGTCGTGGGATCAGTAGATTTTATTATCTGAAAACAAATGGTGACACTTTTAAGATTTTCTATTAAAAAAAAGAAAAAACACATTGACTTCCTTCTGCTTTGTGTTGTTCGATCCCAAATCCCGATAAAGTAGACTGAAGTTTGTTGTTGGCTGATTTAATTTATGGGGAAAAACTAATTTAAAGTGTGAATACATTTGCAAGACGTTGCACTGAAACCAAAAGGGCTGGAAAACACATCCCTGAGGGACGCCACAGCATGGTTTATATGCAATATGGTAATACTCCATGATGGAAAGTGATTAATTTGTTCTTTTTGTATTTATTTTTTCTAGTCTAGAATATCTCATTCTCTACGTCATCAAACATTATTAATTTCCTGATTGTGAATATTTTCCACACTCAGCCTCAGTAATAAACAGAGTTATTTTCCTGAAACCTGAACCTGGATGACAGATGAAGGGGGGAAAGTAAAAGCGCCAGGCTCGTCGCTGGAGCTAAAACATAAAAAGGAGGCAGAAAGTGGGAAGCTACGGTTGACTTGATGAAGCCCTGAGGGCAAAAACGAAGCTTGTTCCTGGACAAAGAGCAGCTGGTGGCAGAGACGTTTTAGGAGGCGAGTCACGTGACGAGCCAAAGCGCCGCCGGCCAATTGCATCTTTCTTTATTGCAGCACATAAGATGTTTATCTGGGTCAGCCCAGGAGACAGAAAGTGGACACAGAAGCAACCTATTTTTCTCCAGAAACACACTTTAGGGGTAAAGGTCAGAATCATGACTCCATCCTGCAGTAAAGGAGTTGAGGTGCAGCGTTTAGCCGACGGTTTGGCTGAGATCAGCTCGCATTTTCAAAAGTGAATCATTGATTTAATTCAAAAGCACAAAATTCTGTTTCTCTGAATATTTTAAAATACAATTAAACATTTTTTGAATGATCATATTAATGGAAAGCTTAGTGGAAGGAAAAAGCATGTTTACATTTGCTTTGGTTCATTTTAACTATGGCTTACAGATAATGACAGCAGAAGATTTTATTATTCAAAAACTGAATATTCCACAAAACTGTTAATTAAAAAAAAAAATTGGTAATGGAAAGTTAAGTGGAAGGAAAAAGTGTGCACTGTTCCAAATCTTCAACAGAATAAAGCAGGAGCTGCATTTCTGTCCACTTTGCTTGGGAAACATCTAAACATCTGAAAACGAAAGTTTTTTGTTTTCTAATTTCTGATTCTGTTTTTTCTTTCTGCAGTTCGGTGCAGAACAGCGAACGAGGGAAAAAGATCGGAAACGCCATGATCACGACCAGCCGCAGCGTCGTCCAAACCGGGAAGGCAGTGGGTAGGAAAACCTCCAAACGTCTCACGAAAAGCTCCACTGAAAGAAAAGCGTTTCTGATGGAAATGTTGTTTTATCAGGTCAGTCGGTGGGCGGAGCCTTAACGAGCGCCAAGTCTGCGATGTCTTCCTGGTTCTCCACGCTGGCTCAGCCTTCACCTTTGACCCCATCCTCAGGTCCAGAACCGGCCTCCGAGGTGAAGCCATGACAGTTACCCTCCAAACGTCCGTCTCCTAGCAACGGCAGCGGAGTATGGCCGCCGTAGAAAGAAAGAACGAGGAAATCTCAGCCTGATTCTTCAGAAATTTTGAAATTAATCTCAGAAATTTTCGAGAAAAAGAAGTGACTGTCAATAGTCAAAAATTTACTAGAAACAAATGTGAAATTTTTAGATTGATATCAGAAATATCTGGAAAAAAGTTTAAACTTTTTTAGAAAACTTACATTTTGAAATTAATTTCTGAAAATTTCTAGAAAAAAAGAATATTTCTGAACTCCAAAAGTAAAAACAGTTCCCGGGGGAAAAAAGATCACAAAATTTGAGATTAATCTTGGAATTTTTCTGGACAGAACTTGAAAATTTCTTTGTTTAAAAAGTCAAAAATCTTTTAGAAAAAAAATTCACAATTTTCAGAAATTTCCTAGAAAAACATGAAATTTCTGGGTTTGAAAAAATAGTTTCAAGAAAAAAACTCAAATTCTGAGATTAGTCTTAAAAATTTCTGAGCTTTAAAAGTAAAAAAAATTGATATGAAAGATCAAATTTTTCTTACTCTGAGAAATTTTGTAGAAAAATAATTCCATTTCTGAGTTTCAAAACAAAAATGTTCTAGAAAAAATGTATATTTTGACATTCTCAGAAATTTTCTTGGAAAAACTTTGATATTTATGAGTTTGAAAATCTAAAATTTCCAAGAAAAAAACAAAATTTTTAGATTAATAAAGATTTGTAGAACATTTCAAAAGTAAAAAATGTAACTTTTGGAGCTCAGGAAATTGATTTTTCTAGAATATTTCTGAGATTAATCAAAAGAATTTCTGGGTTTTTTGTGGGTTCACTCTTTGTTTTCTGTCTGCACCGGCCCTGCATCAGCGGATGGAGCATAAAAACAATCACTTTTCCTCAAATTCACACGGGAATCTGAAGGATGAACCCCGGATTGTGGGCTTTCTGCAGCGCGTTAGCTGGATGCGCCTGCAGGCGCTAAATTTACTCTGCAGCCCAAAATCACTGTGAGGTGGAAGCTGCCACTGCTTTGATCAAATCTGATCATTTAAGAGGCTTTTGGAAGTTAAGAGTCTCTGTGCTGCAGTTCGTGTTGCTGTGTTCACTCTTCGTACTTTATGGTTTGTCAACATTTTGCTGGAGAAGTTATTTAAGATGCCTTGGTCATGGGATTTTACTCAGTAGATTGAGTATCTCACAAAATTGGAAAAATTTGATTTTAAATTGATTTTTGTTCCACCAATGACTTTGTTGTGACACTGTGGTTGTTTTAATTATGTGAAATTTAATCAACTTTCACTCATTGAAGTGCAACAGAAACTTATGTGTTTACAATAAATGTATTATTTTTTACTAAATTGGAAGAAAAAGGATAAAAATTCAGGTTTATATGTTAGTAAATTTAAAAAATAAAATGCTTATTTGAACACTAAAATCAGGGTTTATTTTTGTTTGTTTGATCTTTTGTATAAAATAATTAACAAAGGGAATAAACAATATTTAGCTGACATGGTGTGTTTAGATTTATACATAAACGCACATATTTACAAAAGAATTACCTCAGTTTACTCAGAAACCAGTTCTAATCAAAATGTAACCAATAAATTCAATAATGTTCATGTTCCTACAATCAGGTTGTAGATTTTGTTAGCATTAGATGCTAGCTAAAATACTAAATGCTTTAGTAATTTATTATATATATTTTTATGTCATAGATTTTCAATATAAACTTTTAAAAAGGGTCTTATTTGCTCAGAATTTATTTTAGCTAACTAAATAAATTGCTACCAAGTCTTTATTTTTTAAAACTTTGAAATCAATTATGAAAAACATTGTGCATCAAATACATTCATAAGTGTATTTGTTTCATTAATAAAATGATTAGTTGCACATTTGTTTACCTACAATTCCTTGATAAATATTTTTTTCCAGACTCTTGTATTTAAAGTTGCTTTTATATATTTTTAAAACTGAAATATTTAAATCATATTACCATTCACAATAAAACCAAAAACTGTTTAAAACCATGCTAATATTAAACCTCAGCATTGTTTGAGTGTTTCTTGGCATCACAGGCGGATTAAAGGGATTATTTTTATAAATGAGTTAAATAGACTTTTATTTCAAATGAACATTGATGCTGAAACAACCGCAGTGCTGCTACAGAAATCATTGAGGACAAAAATGATTTGGTGTAAAAACATCCTCTGATTATGAGGGAGGTTTGTGTTTGAAGGCTGTTGGTAACATTTCCCAGACCTTTTTGTACTTTTAAATGAATATATATTTGGAGAACTATATTTAATAAGACCTAAAATAGCCTGAAGACTTATTTATTGATGTGTAGCGTGTTATATGAATAAGAAATATATCCATGTTGTGTCATTGTAACACTGGACCACTGTGTTTATTTGCACAAAGCAGCCACTCTTCTGTCTGTGGACCTTTACCTTGTGACTGTACGTTTTGAGGTGCGTTCAAGATCGTTTCCCTCCATGCTGCGAACTGTCGTCCAGTGAGCATGATTGACCAGTACGTCGTTTTTCCACATAGTTGTTTGATTTTAAATGTTTTGGATTATTTGTGCTGTTTTTTTCTTTTTTAATCTGTTATCTTTTCATTTTGTATTTAAACTGAATGAATGTATTGTAAACTGAAATATTTTTCTGGAAGAGAAGGAAGTGACGAACCATGATGCTGCATTAAAAAGAAATAAAAGTTGCATTTTTATTTTTCTGGCCTTTTGGTTTTAAAATATTAGTGAATAACACAGTTTATATAGTTAACTAAAACCAACAAAATGATTAAAACTTAATTATTAAAATCTGTAATTAATAGGAAAAATTACAATTAACTGCAAGGTGAGTTTATAAAACTAAAACATACTGAAATTCTAGATTTAATATCCTTTGTTTTTGTGTTTATAAATCTATTTTTTAGCCTTTTGAAATGATCTCGTTTTATTGTTTTTATCAAGGGTAATTTATAAAAATATGAGTTTAAAGATGTGGGTATGAAATGGTTAATAGTGTTTAAAAACTGAAGCATGAACAAACCAAACACCAGAGGCCATTTGCAGAACGTTTTTGGTATATTTTTTAATAAATTAACGTTCATCCAAAATACAGTGCCAAAGGAAAAATGATGCAGCCAAACATGCTAGTAAGGTTTGTCATGAAGCACCTGTGCTCATGTTTTAAAGATGTTTTAGAAGGAAGACCCCCACCCACCATTTTATCGAGCTCTCTCCTCTCTCAGCCAATCAGCAGCAAGATTTCTCAGTACTCATCCAGAAAAAATGTAATCGGATAAGAAGATGAAGATCTACAATCACACTACAGTAATGTCGGGTATTAAATAATAATAAAAAAGAAAGACACTAATACAAAATAGACCTGGTTACGCCGACCCATCCCTTCCACACTGAAACAGCTGTTTTAAACATATGAAAAATATAGTTTTTATATATTTATATAATTCAGCAGCTTAGAAATAAAAAAAAATGCATGAGCCCAGAACCTGTTTGTTTTTTCACTGCGAGTGGAGTTTTGTTTGTTGCATTGAAAGAAACAGACAGACTGAGGTGTGAACTGCTGGTTGTGTGGAAGACCTGTGTGCAGCAGACGTGACGTAATGAGGGGCGGGGTCAGTTGGAGGAAGAGGGCGGAGCCTCAAGCGGCGGAGGCGGGGCTACGAGTGGCTGGACCTGCAGCCACCCCGTCTTGAAGCAAACTGCTTCCGCCTGCCGCTCGCTGTTTCCGCTCGGTCCTCCGGAAACGACCCGCTCGTCTGCGAGGCCTTTTAAGGAAATGCATGATCCCATTTTTATTTATTTTTTAAAAGGAATACTCCGCTAAAAATCAAAGTTCAAACATTGTGGGACGCTTCTAAGAAAAAAAGTGAGTTTTCTAAATACATTTTCTTTACAAATTCTTGTTATTCTGTGCAGTTTACGGCCAAAAACAAAAGGGATGATTTATAACGACCGAGTTTGTTAGCCTGCTGTCGGGAAATGTGGTTTTATTACTCCAGTAATAATGTAGCAATAGTAATTAGCTTGTTTTAGCTAATTCAGGCAGGCTTACATATGTGCTGTCAATATGGTTTGAACATAATTCCAAACCAAAATAAGTGAATGAATTAAATTTTGGGATTTGAGCACGTTTATGAATTAATAAAAAAGCCCTCATATATAAACTAATATGCAATGGTTGAAGGCGGAAGTATAAATGGAGACAGATTTCTGATTGGTTGTTCCTTCAACATTTATCATGACTAAATTCAGCCATTTTGTTTCGACTTCGGTTCAGTTCACCGCTATATGGAAAGCTGACGGTTTAAAGTCATTTTAAAATCGAAGTTTGTTCCATTTTTTGCATGTCAAATGACCCAACAACAAACAAGAACACGACGGTTTACTGGTTAGCTTAAGCTAATGTTAGCCAAAGGGATCAAAATGACGTCACCAAAATGAAACCAATTAAAAGCATAAGCTAAATTACATTTAATTTCACATCAGATTGGAGTATTCTGGTGACTTTTCTAAACATTGTTAACCGTATTTTGTTGGGATATTTTAGGTGTTTAAATCCACCAGAGGCTAAAAAACTGGGTTAAAGAAACCAACTTTAATCAGCCCAGCTACTTTATAATACAAAATGTGGAAGGCAGTTAAAGTCTATCCAATATTTCATAAAAGCAGTTTTTTTTTTCAGCTTCCTTCTGGGTATGAATAAAGTTTCCATCTTTATTTAATGTTTAAAAAATGAATTACAAAAAAGGGAATAACTGAAATGAAAAGGTAGACGTGTGAAACGAAAGCCGGAGGTTTGATGCATAAATGGGGAATATCTGTTAATTCCTTCCTTTAAGGATGGATCATAAACTGTGTTTATAGAAAACTCTGCAGCACATTTTCCTTCTTTATGTGTTCCAGTTCTTAGGGGGAAAAATTAAACAAATGAGAAGGCAACACGAGGACAAGATCCAGGCCATAGCTGAGATACCACCCAGTTTATTCCCTTTGAGCGCAGCTGCTTCACTTTTATCATTTTCTGAACTTTATTTTATTAAAGCTGCATAAATATTTATAAAAACTCAAGTCTTCGAACAAGAAGACGCTGAAATACCTTAAAATTCAACATCCAGTTGCAGTGATCTTTGATTTTCTGTGGAGTATTTCTTTAGCAGAGAGGAGAGATTTTGGTACAGTTTCCGTTAACCAGAAGGTTTACCAGTTAAGTGCATCATCATCGTCACAAAATTAGTTTGAGATTATCACATTGTAGAAACAGTATGACCGACATAATATCTAACAGATGTCACCACTGGCAAAATAAACCAGAACCAAAAGGAGGATGGGTTTATATTCGAGGGGAATCGAGTCCGGCGGACCCTCCGCACATTTCACGCTAACGCTACAGCCCCCCCCCTTCCTCAATGTTCCTCTGCTGTGTCATGGAGGGGGGGAAGTAGAAGCTATACGTGGGGGAGGGTCACCAGCTCTCCGTCCACCTCGAACTCCTCACCGCCGTCAGGGGAGAAGAGGTACGTCGGCGGTTTCCACGGAGACTCCTCCAAGCAGGAAGGGTAAAGTTTCCCGACGGCGCAGCGGAAGTCCTTCCCCAGATCCCAGAGGACGCGTTCGGACACAGGCTGCCGCCGGAACCAGCGGTCCTCCTCCGCATCGTACTGGTAGATGGCGTACTTGGCGCGCTCGTTCATGTGGGTCTCCCTCATGAAGATGCAGAGCGAGTTGAGCAGCACCACAGCGCGCACGCACGGGTCAGAGTAGCGCTTGGCCGGGATGTTGGCGGCCAGGCGCCACTCGTTCTTGTTGACGTCGTAGATCTCCACGGTGACAGAGGAGCCGTCGATGGTGCTGGTCGGCATGCGGATGCCGGAGTTGCTGACCACGTGGAGGCCGCCGATGTAAAAGATGAGGTCGCCGAAGGCGGCGGCAGAGGCGAAGCAGCGGCTGGTTTTGCGCATGGCCATCTCCACCCAGGCGTCGGCGCGGGGGAAGTAGCAGTACATCAGGTCGTGCGTCATCACGTAGATGCAGTCGTGTGCCACCACCGAGGTGCTCCAGTTCCAGGCGAAGGGCAGCGGGCTCATCATAGTCCACTCGTCCTTCTCGCGGTCGTAGCGTTCCACCGTGCGCTTGTTCAGCTCCCCGCCCACGTTGTCGCCGCCGATTGCATAGATGTAGCCGTCGCAGTAGACCAGCGACGGCTTGATGCGGGCGCACAGCATGGGGGTCTTCGGCACCCAGGCGTTCTGCTGCGCATCGAACCAGAAGAAGCTGTCGACCGAGCGGAACACGGCCTGCAGCTTCCCGCTCCTGCCATGGTTGGCTATTGAGTTTTTGAGGGGAATCTGACCGCCGGCGATGTAGACGTCGTTGTCGGGGGTAACAAGGGTCCCGACCTTCTGCAGGTCTCCCGGCGGGTTACACAGCTTGTACACCTTCTCCGCCTGCGGGCTGTAGCACACTATCGTCGTAGGCGGCGACGTCGACGTGACGTAGCTCTCGCCTTGCGTCTCCGACATGGCCTCCATGAAGATCAGCATCTCCTCCTTGGTCATGCCCAGGCGAGGCTTGAAGAACTTGGGCATGGACTTGTAGAGGCCCTGCACCACCACCGACTTATCGTTGGGCGGCAGACCCTGGAACCAGGCGCGCTGGGTCACCTCCGACAGCGCGTCGATGCGGATCTGGCTCAGCACAGAGGACAGGTGCTGTGAGCGTGCCTCCATGTTGAACTCTAACCACAACATGGCCGCCTCGCGCACCGTCTCCTCCTTCTCCACGTTGAGGTTGTCGCTGCTCAGGATGTCGATGAGCAGCTCATGGGAGAGCTGCAGGAAGGCCTCCTGTCGGTAAACTCTGGGGAACTTGTGCTCCACCATGCGCTTGGCGCTCTGCTTTAGCTCGCTGCAGCTGAAGAGGTCGCCGATGCTCAGCATGCGGACGCAGTTCTCAGCGTTGATCTTCTTCACCAGGTAGTCTCTGCACTGCAGCAAGACGTCTTCCACCTGAACGAGACAAACGCATCACAAATCTGTCCAATAAGGTTCCAGTACACACCCACTGCAAAAACACAAAATCTTACCAAGTTCTGTTGGTTTCGTTTCTTCTGTAAATATTTTAGTACACTTGAAATTAGATAAAACTAACTTACAGATAACCTTTCAGCAAGAAATAGAAGCTTGTTTTATGTCAGTTATTCCTTAATATTGATGGGAAAGCATTTGTACCATTGGCAGATTATTTCACTGAAAACATGGGAAAATATCTTGTTAAAGTGAAATAATTTGCTAACTGGTACTTGTTTATTAGTAAGATACTGTTTTTTGCAGTGCAAGATATTTAACACAAAATACAATAAATACCAATATATGAAACACTGATAACGTGGTAAGTTTTTTTATTTTTCAGTCTACAAACCAGGTAAAAGTAAAACAACACAAGATTTTTTTAATAGCTAGAAATCTGAACAGGGTCTTAATTCGTCTTCCTCAAGCGTTGTTGCTGAAAAATTTCCTCTGGAGTTCCTCAAGGTTGAGTAATCAGTGTCTCGTCGATTATTTTGTTACATGACAGCCAAATTATGGAGAGTTGAAGTTTGTGTTTGTATCTCAACAAAATGCTAAGATACTTTAGCGAGGGGCTGCGAGACGTACCTGTAGGAAGCAAGCGGTCTCGTAGAGCGGCTCCACCGTGCTGTCGCTGATGGCCAGGTGGCCCGTGTAGGCGTAGGCGATGATGATCTTCAGCGTGGCGGGGTCCACGTTCCTCAGGTGGACGTGGGTCTGCTTGCTCTCACTGAGGCCGCTCATGAACATCGCTCTGCAGTGGAAACACCAGCAGTGGTGGGCAACATGGACTTATTATTATAATTGTTTGATTTGTTTTACTATACTGCACAAAAACCACTAAAAACCCAGACATGTTCAGGGAAAAAAATACAGCCTATCCAAAAGAACAAAAAACAAGTCTTAGTAGATGGGTGGTTGAGGATGCACCTCTTTCAATGAAAATCTATGTTTAGTCACCCTAAGTTATGCTAATAGCACTTAGCATTCATGAGGACTCATTGCGGTGCGCTAAATTTAACAAAGCTTCAAGGCAGATAAATTAGGAATTTTAATAATGGAGGGACTAGAATCAGCCACATTCCTACATAACCATCAAATTTTAGATCAAAATTTTTCTAATCTTTACTGCCCTCTCTTGGTCATTTTTCTCATATATGTCAAATTAAGTCACAGACTGGACCAAGTCAGAACAGATGTTTCTGTTTGGGTCTCCAAACCGGGTCATGTTGGCTGTTTCACAACCCAGCGTTGTTCTTTTAAAAACACACAGAGCCTCTTAATGACGGCTGGAAGCTCGCCAACGCTCCCAGCCGGAGCCTGGGTACCTGGAAGCGGCCACTGCTGGAGTCCAAACACCGCCGTGCTGCCCGTGTTATTCTACACCAGCGTCCACACGGCGAGTTACGTAACCCAACCAGGAAACTACTGAGCCTCGACAGTTTAAAGAAAAACAGCACCTTTCCCAACTACTGGCATGTTTTTGAAGCAACTCTGCAGTAAAAAAGATGCAGCTCTGATGTTTTGAAAACCACTGAAATAATTATTCAGAATCCTAAACGGTCAGGATTCACCATCTCCTTCAACATTTCCCACAGAAAACAGAAGCATTTTCTGATGTTAGGAGATTCCTGATGCACTAACCAAAGCATCTGTGATCAGCTCAGAGAGGAAAATCTATTCCTGATCAGCTATTTTTACCTCAGCTGTGACTTTAGCATGTCTGAAACCTATAAATTAGCTTTTTCATTTTTATTTTTGTCGATTTCACAAGTTGCTTTTACCAAAGGAATCTTCTGTCAGAATGAGGGATGTACTGGCCGCCGTAGAGACAGCTGACGATGTGAGAGAGTAAAGGACAAAAGAATGGACAGACTGAGGGACAGCTGGACATTCAGATGGATGGATGGATGGATGGATGGACAGTTGGATGAAATGTTGAATGAATGGCTGAGCAGGAGGATGGATGCATATCCTCCATGTTAAAAGTGAATCTAGCTATAACTCCTGAATCAAAAATCATTTTCCAGACTTCCTGACTAGAACGCCGCCATGTTGAAACCTCAGCAGCCAATCAAAAGGTTCCTGCTCCTCCTCCTCAGGATGAAGACCAGATAAACCTGCTGTTGGGATAAAACCGCCCGCTTCATGGTGGGAAGCATGATGTCAACCAGCTGCTGCGTGATTGTTCATTTCATTCAGAGGACGGACTCATCTGGAAAACATTTCACCAGTTTCTGCCTCCAAACTCAACATTAAGGTTCACCTTTACCGACAGATTGAATAATCCAGAAAAACATCAACACACAACTCAAATTATCAGGGATTTCAACGCTTTTGTAACCAAAATGTAAAAAGAAAAAGAAGAAATGTGATTTTTGAACAATACAGAGGAGGGTTTTTTGGGTGTGTTGGCCTCAGCAGGGGCTAAACCTGCCAGGCTGTATTACGCAACCCTGCGGAATTACCCCTTTTACCCCCTCCATCTCTTAACAAGAGCTACGTGACCAGACTCTCCCTCCCTCCCTCCCTCCGCCTCCGCTCTGCGGTCCGGCTGCTCCCCCTGAAGCCAGGCGTGGAGGATGGAGAGGAAGCAGGAGGAGTTCGGCGGAAACGCAGCGACATCTCCGCACCCCGAGGGGGAAACACTCTGTCCGCACCAGACAGGCAACGCGTGGGGGAGGGGGCATGATGCAGCAGATTTCCAGCCGAAACGTACAGACTGCTGCATCTCATTATGCAGCAGCGTTGCATTATGCAACGCTGAGCACATGAAAGAGGAAAACGTCTGGTTGCAATTACTTCATTTTTTTCCCTGAATCTACCAGGAACTGGTTGGAGAACAAGAGCTGGAACTCTAGTTCTGCAGCCAAAGCGCGGTCCGGGGGCTCATTGGTGGACCTTGATATGATTTTGTTCGGCCCAGGAGGTCAAGTCAACAGTAGCTGCGTTTCCTTAACAAATTTATCCAAAACTTTGTTGATATACGTATAAAGTTGAATTTTTTTTTTTAGAAACTGCGTCTTTCCATTAAAGTGACAGTATTTTGTGTTTTCCAGGCACAAATCACCATTTTATTAAATAAAATAACTGTGACTTTCAGTTCAGCCAATTTAGCGCCTTGAAATTGGGCATCTGTCTTTTTAAAAACTCCTGCTCTTTCTGAAACTCTGGCTTCAGGAAGTCATCACAACATGGCTCCATTATTATTAACAAAGCTTTTAGAATGATCTCAGCAGTTCGACCAAGTGTTTGCCAATTCCAGCTGGCTAGTCTGAAGGAGCTGAGAGGGGAAGGGTTGCTGTGTGAGGTGGAAACTCCAGGAGGCGCTGCGGCTCCAAGGCGGAGCCAGGTCCACCCAGCCATGGTTTCCATATTGTAACATTCCTGTACTATTGTATCCAATTTGTATGAAAATGCTCAATTACCTCTGTTGTTTCTCCAACTTCGAACAGTTGGAGCCCCTAAAATGAGCTTAGTTTTACGTGAAAATTATAATTTAACTTTTTCAGATTGATTTTCAAAGTGGATAATCTCCTTAAAAATATTTTTATTTCCCCCAGAAATCTGGCTAAGTGCTGTGGTAGGGCAGTGGGGAAGTTCATCATTTGCCCCACTGTGTTTTAGTGTTAAAAAATGTCAAGTTGACAGAAAAATTTGTAAATAAAACAGAAAAGAAAATGGACAAAATATAATTACTGTTTCTGTAGGCCTGTCAAAGAAACAAACTTTTCTGGATGATAAATTGTCCCAGAACTTATTGCAACAAATAATTCTTTTTTAATTCTTCACACCATTTTCAAGTATTATTATGGTAAAGGCATATTAACACAGAAACACATTCTGAAAGATCAATAAACCTTAAATTACAAAGGATATTCAACACTGGATCTGGAAGACATTTTAAATATTCAAAATAAAGAAAGAAAACAGGAAAAAAAGACAAACAGAGCCCCAGTTTCAAAACGCTTAGCCTGGCACGGGTAAGTAAAGCCTGGTGGCCCGCCAGGCTGAATATACTCTGGAGGAAACCCTGACAACAATTAAATAAAGCAGCCTGCTCACCTGAAATAGGAGCTACATGTGGCCAGGACCATCTTGTGACACGGGAACTCAGCGTCCTCCACCAGCAACACCACATCCGTCAGCAGCTTCTGCTCATAGAAGAACTTGAGCTGCTCCAGCAGCGAGACGGCGTAGTCCGTGTTGACCGGCCTGCGCTCACTCAGACCCGACATGGTTGCATCCCAGGAATCGCGCCCCAGCTTTGAAAACTCTCGTGGCCGGCAGAACCGGACTCAAACCAACCAGGAGAAATTTGAAAAGGGGGGATTTATTCTCTGGTCCTCCACACCTCCACAGGAACAGGTGGAGGTGTCAGGCGGTGGGGGGTGGGGAAATCTCAGGAGTTCACAGGAAGTGGGGGATGCAGGGTGAGGACAGGGTTTCCCCTCCGAGGGTCAGCGGTCATCGGACGTCATGCGGCGAGGCACGGAGGGCGATCGGAGGTAGAGAGGGCAACTCCGCCACGGCGCCGTCACATCAAGGGCAGCTGGAAAACAACAGGAATTTTTATTATTAAAAACACACTGTAAAAACAAAAGTTTTGCAAGTATGCTTGGTCTATTTTCTATATCCCACTACATTGAAAATAAGACAAAGTCACTTGTACAAGTAACTTTATAGCAAAATACAGAAGCTCTTTGTAAGTCAATAATTTCTTAAAATTTATGAAAAACTGCTTGTTCCACTGGTTTCAATTATAACATGACATGGGAAAAATAACTGATTATAAGTGAAAAATAATCTGCCAGTGGACCAGTACAATTTTAAGGACTTACTGACTTAAAACCAGCTCCTTTGTCTTGGACTGCACTGGGCTCTCTTATTCCTTTGTACATTTTGTTTTGCTTATGTTCACCAAATCCTAACAAGTGCATTTGATTTATATCACAATAAAAAATATATCTACATAAAAAGGAGGCATCCAACAAAATATACAACTTATCTTTCACTTGTACACTGAAATAAAAGGTGAGGAATTTTTATCTATATAGCATATTTTCAGCAAAGGCAATTCAAAGTGCTTAAAGAGAAAGTTAGCAGGTTTTGTACACCAGGTCTAATAGCAAACATTTTGTCCTGATGATATGACTTCTAAATTAAATCTGACATTATTTTTCTTTGATTACTTGACTTAAAAAGACATTTTCATATCAGAACCTATTTCCTCCACACTTTCTTTTCTAGACAGAAATTACAAGTGACAGAAAATAGTTTCAAAACGTGACTTTTCTCAATTATCCCTTCTGTAAGTTGTATACAATGAAATATTAGAGCCAGGCTACAAAGTTACTTAATTATAATCGCAATATTAGCAAGTTGAAAATAATTTTACCAGAAAGAAAATGTCTTGGAAGCAGCTTCAGGACTTTTTCCTGTGATAAGAATTTTAATATAATTACTAGCATGTCCTAAAAAAGAAAATAAGGTCATAAATCCCAGAAACTGTAAAATTTGTGTTTTCAATAGTTTCTATTCTTTTTTGCGGCTTTAAAAACTATTATTCGGCTTCAGTTGGAAGATTGCAGTTCATAAATCATACATAACATGATGTCAAAAGCAGCATAAACATTTCATATTTAATATAAATCAAGTCTGTCCAAATTTCTAACTATTCTGGTTTTCCTAATCCCTAATATGGAAACGGAAAAAGAATATTGTTTTCACAAATTACAGTGTTTTCAAGAATCTAGCTTTAATATTACACAACTTAGTGCAGGTTTTTAAGCAAATCTATCCAAGTTTATGTATATCAAAATATCATGCTCTAATACTAATCCTAAGCAAAATCAAGGTTCCATATTATAATCTTCATTAGAATTGTCCGAAATGATGCAGCTGCCAAGGTCAGCATCACTCCCAGCTAACTAGCCGGTTTATTTTGATCTAGAGGCTGACATTTTGCGAATCTGTCCCGTTAACATGTTTCTGTTAGCCCAAAGCTAATTAGCTACATTAGCACGCTATCGCCATAGGAACAACCCGATTGAGTGGCTTCATTCCGGCCTGGATAAAACAAAAAGTCATGGTCAGATTGGCCCTCGCTTTATAGCGGAGTATTTGGTAATCTGAGAGGAAAATAAAACTGTCAGAACTGAAGCAGCGGCTCTAGTCTGATTCACAGCATGTTAGCATTAGCATGGTAGCTTTAGCTTTCCCCACTCTGCACAGTTCCGGCTCGGTTTAACGGGGCACTCGCTGGGGCACACTGTCTGGTTGTCAGAGATGAAGGAGTCAGATACCACCATCCAGGTCTGGTGTTCTGACAGAAGATTGTGGTGTCAAAAAACATGACAGGGAAATCAAACAGCATCCGCTAAGCTAATAACGGCCAGAGCTACGCATCGCCTCTTCCGTAAAACACCTCCGACAAGGAAGAAAATACTACATTACTTACTTTATCCTCGGCGAGTTCCACTCACTAAACCTTCCTGATGTTATTCCGTTGGTATGAAGAGTAAACTGGACCCTTGAGGCCGAACTGAGACGGTGAAGACTGTTATGAGTCGGCGCCGAGCAGCGGACAAACCTCTTAGAGCATCAAAGGCGCCTCTACAGAGCAGAGGCCAACTGAGGATACTGCACTCAAACCCAGTGACCTGCCCTTTTGTAAGGAGAAACGGCGCCCTCTGCTGGACAGACCATAACATAACAACGGTAGAATGGCGACATGGCGACCTCTGCTGGATAGATTGTGATACCACAGTAGTGAAAGATTTTTTTTCTACAATTTGAATTTTAAAAACAAATATTAAGAGCACAAAAATATACATTGCGTCATAATTATACGCATAGAAAATAATTTAAGTCGATGAATATTGGAAATCTATTTTCCACTGTTAAAATTTATTCAAAAAACAAAGCATTAACATCTATATATATATATATTAAAAAAATCATCAAATTTAAGGTAGATCAAGTAAGCACAAAAATTGACTGTTTATTGACAATTATAAAGTAACATGATGTTTTAAGGTTGTGGAAATGTTTAAGAAAAAAACAGAAGGTACATTAAAATATCTTGAATTCCAAAGTTAAACAAACCAAATATCTACATTAAATGAATTGAAATTCAGTGTTTTTATTATATATTTACGCAACAATTTAATATTATAAATATTATTATTTTTAACTTATTTTGACATAAGGCTCCCTGTTGACCCCAAAGGCAACATTCCTAATGGGTCTCAAGCTGTTTGCTATATAACTAATTACCTGCAGCAGGTCGGCTTTTTACTCAGTAGAAATGACTGTTGTGCTTCATAGAGCAACATTTTTCTACTTCTGTTCAGTCATAAATTGTTAAAGTAACTTATTTATTTTTCTGAAACTTTGGGATGTTTATTTATTTTCATCCCTGTGTGTTTTATTTCCGACAGTCAGCGAGATTGTGAATGAAAATGGAAGGTAAGTCGTTTTTATTTTCAACTTTAAAATGAAGCAATGTGTGGTTTGAAGCTATTTGAATCCGTCTTGTAGATCCAAGCAAACAGACTCCCCCCTTTGGCAGTGGAGCTCAGAGAAGTTCCCATCCCAGGCCTTTCTTCTTCGTCCAGCCACCTTCTCAGCCATATTATTTCTGCCCTCCCTGGCAGCTTACGAACCCATACAGCCACTTCGGACTGCCTGCAGGTATTCAGCCATTCACATATGTAGATCATGCGTTCACATAGTGAATCTCAGAGCAATTTTTTCAAACTCTATTCATAGGTTTTAACTTTGGCCGCCCCAGCCTGCATCCTTACCCCTATATGCCTTACCCTGGCTTTGTTTTACCACATGCCCCGCTACATCCTGTAGATTACAGGCGGATGTTTGAACCGAGATTCCAAGCACCAGCTTGGGGAGATGTACCTCGTCAACAGTACCATCCACAACCTCCGGGACGTCGTGAAACTGCTTGTTCAGGGGCTCAAACTGACCCTAATGATGCCATAAACAAGCTAATCGAGTGCTTGGATAAAATCCGAACCACAGAGCTTCAGAGCACCGACCGAGAGCTGGACTCTGGCGTTGGTTCTCAATCCTCGGGTGTCTTTTCTCCTGTAGAAGAAAAAGCTGAAAAGCAGGGTTACCCACTGCGGTTGGAGCCAAATCATGGCCCTTTGGAGTCTCCAGGTGTGACTTCAAGTGATTCCAATGCAGGGGTTTATGATGGTGAGTCCAATAAAGTTGTTTTGGACCATTTGAGCCCAGAAGGAGGTTGGACAGGAAGACTGGAGGAGGAGCTGCCTATTGACAGCTCTTCATTTCATGAAGAATGTCTCCATCAGCTGGCACCAGACGAACACTTTGTCTCACATGAGACAGAGGTCCCAGATATTCAATCAAATATCTCGATGACTGACTCAAGTGTTCCAATTTATGATACTGAGAAGGTCCACAAATCTTCACTTCCCTCCAGTCCGCTGGTCTTTACAGAGGCTAAAGTCTTAAAGGTAGAAGATTCAATGACTTCCTGCGATCAAATCAAACCCGATGAAGACTACCAGATCATCAAGCTACCGTTTGATGGTGTTTTTACTGCCGGAGCTGTGCAGCTCTCATCCCCAGCTGCACCTTACTATTACAATTACCTTCCCATGCAGACTACACATGAGCGCATGAGTGTCCTCAGTCCATCTTTGGACGAACTGTCTTCCAGAGATGAAATGTTCTCTACAGATCTGGACGACACGGATCTCTTCCCAAAGCATATGTACGCTGGGAGGAAACTTTCGGCAGTCATTGGAGGATCTCCTCCAGCGGCAGACGATGACGAGGAGGCATGGTTGCCAAAGTCGAAGAGGGTCGCGTGTGCTTGTTGTGGAAAAAACTTGGAAAAGGGGACAAGCAGGAGCAAAATCCATAGCAACAAAGTGTATCATGATGAAGCTGGAGACTCTGAAGAAGAGGGTGCATACGGGAGAGGGTCCGAGCAGCCAATCAGAGTGGTTGTCAGGAAGCATTCTGCAGCAAAGAAGACTCAAACTGTCCAAAGACATTCAGCTAAACCTTGGTATAAGAAAGGCCAGTACAAAGAGCTGCCAGACACCATGAAATGGGTGGAGAGTCATGAGGCCTGTCAGCAGGAGGTTGCTGAAGCAGAAACCGAGGAGTTGGACAGCAGGGAGCTGCAGTGTAGAACTTGTCAGGGTAAGTAGAGAATTGTTTTTTTTGTTGTTTTTTTTTAAAGCATTCAGCAGAAACGGATGGGACCCATAAATCTGCTCACAGATGGACTCTGCAGAGCGGATGTGGCCACCGCAGGCCCAGGCCAATGGCCGGCTGGAGAAGCGATTCCCCGTAGAAGACATGCCACCCCTCTGGAAAGACAAGGTAACATTTAGCACACCCAAGTTGTCAATTTCTTCAGTTTTTTACCCCCAACAAAACAGTCTTTGCCTGATCAATGGTTTAATATCCTTTTTCATGTTTATATCCTTCATGTTGGCTTCATTAGAAAACTTGAGGTTTATGTTGAATTTGAATTTGTCATGTTTAAAAGAACAACTCCTGGGACTGAGCACACATCCTTGAGGGACTGATTTGATCAGTTTGGAATATGCTGTTCTACTTTGTATTTTGTAGGTATTTTAGTAAAAGACTGTTTGTTTTAGCTTCTTAATCTTCTCTTAACCCAACTATTTAGAAGTAAGCCCTCAGTGGAAAGTGATGTACCACAGGCCTAGAGATGATGATCAGGACGGTGAAGAAGAGGTGCTTCCATTAAGTTGGGAAAGAGGTACTTTTATTTGAGCAGGGGTTCATTTTTTGGGTCATTATGTGAATGTAAAATGTTGATTTGTTTTTCAGGCTCCACAGTGAGAGGAGAACCAAGATGTTGACGTTTTCCTTGACTGAGTTTTGAACAAAACGGATTGAACTGTAGGTGGCAATCATTTCAAATGACCAATAGTTTTAACATCTATTTACATATTTACCACTTTTTGTTTTTACAGGTCCCCCCTAAAGGTGTAAAGGTTGAGGGATAATGGAGCACCAGGTGTAATGCACTGCACAAGAAGCATAGTTGTATAAAAGAACAAAAAAATTGCAGTGATTCTGCCTTTCACCAAAGATAACTTGATCTCACAAATGGGCTAAAAGGTTGTTGAAGATGCCACTGTTTGGGGACAGTCCAATAAAATATAAATATCCAAACTTGTTGTGGTGCTTTTGTTCTAAACCAGCCACAATGGCTTGCTCTTCTTAAATGTGGAATCCTAAAGGACTAGAAATATGGGTAGCTGGAATTTTGCAGTTATAACACCAAAATAAAAACTTATTGGTGTGAACTGATAACTTCATTTCCAAAAGTAATCAGCTGCCCAATGGATGCTGTAAAGAAAACTTCTAAGAAACCAACTATTTTTAGTATAATTTAATCATGAAATTTTTCAAATACTAGCTATCCTGACAGTGCCTATGCTAGCAGCTATGCTAGTAGCTAAAAGGTGCCAGCAAATGTATAAATGAAAATATATGTTCTTCAACCTAAGACAGGTTTGACTTTTTGAAGTTCTGCTCCTGAAAACTGTCATTTCTTTGCACCAGTTCTTGGTTTGGGCATCAATGCAGGTCATCAACCTGTGGTTCTGCTGAGGGGTAAGGAAGTCCAGGTTGCTTTGATAGCTGAATTCAGTTCATCTTATCGGTTCAGGTGTCATCTTGCCATTGACGATACTCCATCGACTCTGGTTCTGGTCAGACCAGTATGCTGGTGAATCACCCACAGTATCACGGTGGTCACTGGACCAGCTTTTGGTACCTTTGGCTCTGTGGGTTTGTACCAAGTTCTCCTGGAAAATTAATCTGCATTTCCATAAAGCTTGTGGGCAGAAATACTCTAAATGTCCTGGTAGATGGTTGCATTACCTGGATGTCAGAAAACCCAGTGGACCAGAACCAGCAGATAACCTGGAGGTGCCAGACAATCACTCTGGACTTCAAGCAATGTGGATTCTGTATTACTCCACTCTTCCACCAGGTGCTGAGACCTTCACTTCCAAATAAAACACAAACTTTACTTTTATCTGAAAACTTTGGACTGTAGAGTGATGGTCCAGTTCTGGTTCTCCTGCAACACAGTGGTTCTTGTGCCTCAGTCTACTCTTTGAAGTGATTCTCTGTTGTTGTTGCACCATTTCCTAGCATAGGTTTTCCTTCCAACCAACTTTCTATGATTACTCCTGTGAACATCCAGCACATTTGAAATCAGCACTACAATATTTTACTCTTCAGAGAAATGCTGAATTTGAGGTTTTCATTATCTCTAAGTCATAATAAAAAGTACAGGAAATACTCTATTTCTAATGAATCTATATGCTATACAGGTTTCACTTTCTGAAATAATTCACAATATTTAACTGGATACTCACCAACACATTCTAAATATAGAACACAATTTATGTACATTATCCAACATTTGAAATGCTGAATATATTTGTGGTTAAATGTCTGAGTTTAGATCTTCTAGTCAGACAAAATATCTGAGTTTTGAAAGTTGTATCTGTAAAACAGTTTGTTTCCAAATGCTTCTAATCTGCAGTTGAGTTTTAGAACAAGTTGTTTTGTTCTCCATAGTTTATGAATAAACAGAACTGGTTTTGTTTGATAATTATATGCAGAGTTGGGTAGTAGCTACTTATTCAAGTACATTTATGTGAGGAACTTTTTTTTATTTACTTTTAGGAGTATTTTTGCTATGCTGCCTGGCTAATCTTGAGTAAAATTTCTGGATTTTCTTCCCACTGAATGACAAAACAACCATATTTTAACCAAAAACTCAGCAGACACAGACACACACCTGCAGTTTTTGTTAAAATTTTATGTTTTTTATTGAAAGAAACTGATTTGGAGCCAAATTTATTTGTTTTGCCTCATTTTACTCATTTCTGTTACTTATATAAATTGTCATTTTGCTCCTGAAAATACCCAAATTTTCACTTAACTTTATATTTTAGTCTGTCGGATTATGTCATTCTAAAATACTCAATAATCTATAATTTCATCACTTACTTGGATGGCTACTTTTTACTTTTACCTAAATATGTTAAGTAGTGCTATTTTTATTCACCTCTGATTGTCCAAAGAGAAACAGATTCTACCAGAGATGTGTAAAAATCAAAAGGATTTGACTTTTTAAGCCTTTGTGTCATTAGAGAATTGCAGCTGTTTTCTGGAACCATGTGAGTGAATGGTACCACACCCACCTGTTTGGAATAAGCCTCTGTGATTGGTTCACACAGCTGCTCATTAAGCTCTAATTGGATGATCATCACCTGGTAGCTTCTGCTTGTGAGAGTTTGGTTTCCACTTGAAAGCATAAAGGAAAACTCTTCCAGGTTCTCTGTGGATGTTTTCTTCTCCTTTGCATGTAGGTGCAACTTTATCCCCAGGACATAATCTTGACTCCTCAGTCATACCTGTCTGTCTCTCTTTGTGCAGGTATGGAAGCAGCCATGCCTAACTTGCAGCATTCCTTCGGTATGGGCCCTAGAGGTCAAAACCTGAACCCAAAGCTGGGACCTGAGCCTTCTGCTCCTGGTCCGCCTCGTCTGGAGGAGCAGCACCATAAGCCGTTCTTCTACATCCAGCCTTCGCAGCAGTACCTGCCGATGCAGAGTCTGCAGTGGCCGGTAGCCATGCCTATGCCCTACAACCCATACTACGGCTACCCTGGCTTAGGTGAGTCTCTGATTATGGCTTATTAACATTTCTGTTGCAGAAAATGGGTTTGTACAATAAGAGACACTTGGGGCGCTCTGATACAGGGGGTGCCAGAGAGATGGCAGAAAAAATAAATTCTTGTTGGTATTTTCTGCATTCAGCATCCAGAGTTGGGTAGTAACTAGTTACATTTACTCAGTTACATTTTCTTGAGTAACTCTTGAGAAAGTACTTTTAGGAGTATCTTTACTACATTGTACTTTTTATTTTTACTTGAGCTTAATTTTAAGTGTTTCTTTTTAAAAAAAATTCTACCCATTGAATGAAAAACACTTAAAATGTAAATGTAACTGGCTCAAAATGTTAACTTTAGTCCAGTATTGTAAGATTTTTTCAACTATTATGAAAAATTTCCATATTTCTCATGTCACTGCCCTCTGGTGGCCAAAACACGCAGTGCAGGTCAGGAAACACGTGTCTGGTTTGACATCCTGGGCAGGTACTCGGAAATTTTCTTAATCTCTGCAAAAGTCTTCTTTCCCATCTTTAGAAATGTAAAAGTAAAGACTTTGTGGTTGAAAGTGTGAATAAAAAATCTCATAAAGCTGTAAAACTTACGTTTTGCACCATTGCTTCATTTCAAATGTACAGTTGTACTACTGTTTGTACTATAGCTTTCTAGTCTTCCCTCCCCAGCCTTGGTCATGTGTTTAGAGGCCCAGAGTGTCACATGTATTCTAATCTGTCATTATTTTCTACAAATTTCACTAGCAGAATGATATATTTTCCTTTTTGCCAAAGTTGAATATCTCTGTGTTGTTATCAAGGGCTTGGCCTACCAATGATGCCCCACTATCAGCCGAACCCCTACATGGAGCCACCTAGCTTTGTTGTTCCCCACACCCACCTCCATCTGATGGACTACAGACGCATGCTGAACCCCCAGTACTACCACACCATGGCCTATCAAGCCCGCAGGTTTCGCTACCAACACAACTCTGCGTCGAAAGAAATGACCAGCTCTGAGGTTCAAACTGAGCCACTTCTCTCAGTCCATAGGACCAGCACCCCAAGGTCCAGTGGCGACTCCACTGGCGACTCCGCCGACAATGCTGCTACAGATCAACTCCAGTCACCGGCTTTTGCCGTACAGAAGGAGGAATACCCTTCAGAACTCCAAGAGAAGGCGCCCTCTTCCACTGCCGGGATGCCATCAAATGACACCTTTGTGATTCAGACCGAGGAGGTGAGGATTGAATGTTGTGCCACACCAGTGGGACTCCAACTGCTCCACGCTCAAGAGGCTCCTGAAATGTCCCACAGCTTTCCCCAGGATCTGGTTCAGCATAGTTCTCCTACCCAGAGTGGTATCCTGCAGGATGAGGGTCTTGACCTTCAAGCAGACCAGTGTGAGCAGGAGCGCAATGTTTGTCCAGACATCTTGGTAGTTGGGAAGCCAAACACTGGGGAGAAGAGTCTTCCTCTAGAGGATCCCATGAACCAAATGGATCCTGTGACTGTAAACGAATCTGAAGAGACTTCAACTGATGAAGACTTGAATGTGACCCCAAAAAGCTTTCACCTCAAAGTTGTTCAGGTGCCATTTGATCCAACATATCTGGATGAACTGAGGAAGATTGAGTCCACAGTCTGGTCAGCAGAGGAATCCTTCATGACTTCCCCTGTCCAGAATGCCTTCATGAAGGCTTCCAATAAAACACTGAATGCTTCAACTGAGGAGTTGGAAATGTTGACACAGGAGGTTCCTGCTGAGGAAATCACTGAAACCGAGATGCCTGCACTATCAACAGTTGAACTAGAGGAAATTGTCTCCACTGTAGAGATGTCTGAAGCAAATGTCTACCCTGCTACAGATGGTTCTCCACTGCCTGAGCTAACAAACACAGTAGAGGAAACTCTTTCAACCAATATCCTTCTACCAGATAATTCCCTTCAGGAATCAGACAGAGAGCATCACCAGCTTGAAACTACAAATGACCAGGATCATCAGGACACCTCCTTTGAATCTTTGCCTGCTTACCTTCCCTCCACCAGCTGGATTTCTGACTTTAATCATAGCTATTACTGCAAAAAGACCCCACTAGCTCCAATGAAGCAGAACAGACCAAGGAATCTCCATAATCTGGATATGTCTAAAAGGAGAAGAAAGCTTAACATGGATTACAAAGAACAACCTAATGTTCGGAAACCAAAAGAGAGGTACAAACCCAAAGGCAAGGTGGATCGACAAAGTCTTTCTGACCATGAATGTTGCCTGAGCAGAAATTTCAATGAGAACATGTTGCGCTCTCGCTGGTCCAACAATGAGCGACTCTGTACCAGATGTACAGCGAAACGTAGGATCAGCACATCTCCAAGTTCAGCGTGTGAAGGCCGAAGCTTGAAAAGGAAAGCGGTTCCTTTCCAGCAATGGAACGATGTTCTTTTACCAACA